GGGAGGGGGAGGAGGGTTGAGAGCAAAAATCAACAAGAAAAAAACAACAACATTATTATAAGTGCTTAGCTTTTTATTGCATTTATGAGGCTACAGCAAAATCATTATCTATCTTACGCACATACACAAAACCATACATCACCACCACTTTAACCTCCATCCACCTTTAACGAAAAGAAAAAGAAAAATCTTATTGACATACGGAGTGGAAAGAAATTGTGGGAGGGGGGGGGAGAAAGAAGACATTTCAACTAAAGAAGACATTATACGGAGCAGCCTATTTATTCAATGCCTACGCCACAACCACTCATCAAGACTAAGGCCAAAGTTATATGTTCTTCTACGTGAAGTCATCATAATACAAAACATCCTTTTCTTTACAGCCCTAGGTGTCATAAAGTCACAGAAACGCCATCGTGCCAGAGGTGTGTAATAACCGCTGCCTGCACGTAAAGTATCAAACGTTGCAGAAATATGTCAGGTGTAACTACAAAGATGTAGGTACGTGCTCTGTGACCTCATTTTAAAATTATGTGTGTGCCTGTCCATCTGTTTGTTTACCCGTGTGTCAATTCGAAAAGAATAAGCGTAAGACCAATTTCCAAAATGCTTGTGGGTAGGATATGCCTTGAACGTAATATGGTAGTTTTTAAAAATTGTTTACATTTATTTATTTATTTATCTATATTTTTCTTTCGTTCTTTCTTTATGTAGCTTTTAGCTTCTTTTGTGTGAGTGTGTGTGGGGGGGTTCTTTTTCTTTAAAAGACCATGATTTAATAAATCAACCAACTGAACTATTAATTTATTTTTTTAAAACACACACACAGAAAAATCCCAAACAAACGATAATCCATGAACGCTTAGCGAAAGCTAACAAATTATCATGTAACATCAACGCTGCAATGAATACAGAGAAGCACACCGACACAATAACAGTTATTCTTCAGTGCTAGGAAAAAGTAGGAACATGGACATAAACAGCAGAGGCAAAGACAAACAAAAAACGTAGACCTACCAGTGCTATCATCTAACCAACCAACCACAGCAACTGGAAACAACTGGCAACAAGTGCGACAGCGACAACAACAGCTGTCCATCAAATATGATGAGACAGTTAGTGATAACAAAAACAACTTCCACCAGAACAACAACAAAAAACAAATAGAAAAGTAAATCCCGCCGTTACCTGGTCCGCCTTCAGTCGGTTGTTGGAGTCCGTCCCGCACGACGACGTGACCACAGTACTCCCGGCTCCCCCTCCCTGTCTGCCCGGCGGCTCGGCCTCTCTAGAGGAGGACAACGACGACGTTGACGACCACAGAGACGATGAAGATGTCTTGGAAGACGAGGTGGCGGCGTGGATGAGCGCGTGTCTGTTGCTGGAGGCCGTCGTAGATATCAGGGCAGGGTCGGAGGAGGAGGAGGAGGTGGGAGGATGAGGGGGAGGGACAGCGGGGAGGCGTCTGTTTGTGAGCGAGGGCGAACTCGACGCCATAATTTGGGCGGGGTGGGCTACCACAGAGGAGGGGGAGGACGAGGAGGAAGAGGAGGAGGCGGAGGAGGCAGAGCGGAAGGACGGACCGCCGGAGGACGGAGAAAGAGGATGTGGTGTAGATACAGAGGGAGCAGCAGCAGCTGCAGCGGCAGTAGAGATTACGGCGTTGTTGTTGTTGTTGCTGTTGTTGTTATTATTATTATTGTTGTTATTGGTGGTGGTGGTGGGCGAGGAATAAGAAGGTGAAGTGGGAGGGTGAGAGAGCGATATCCCTTGGTGAGCGGAGGGGACCGCTGCGACACCGTCCTGTTTCCTACTGCCGTTTATTCTGCTGGCCGAGGGCGGGTTCCGGGGCTCATCAGCCTGGTCGTGACCCCTTGTGACCTCTGTGGATCCCAGATGATTAAAGTAATTAGTTCCGATTGGCCGTATCATTAGGGCGCGGGGCTCTGCGTCTTTCTGCGTCTGTAGCTAGACAGCAGAGGTTGGGCTGGCTCGGGACACCTATCTAGGTTACACTACCACACAACATTCAGTACCGCAGGGTAAAGGATCAAATGGAATTTTCCCGGTTTTACCCCCCCCCCCCCTCTTCCCCCCTATTCCAACATCACCAGCTTACAAGAGGCAGGGATTCCAAACTTATAGTTCATCTCCAATAGGGGTGGCCAACACTCTCTCCTCCACCTTGACTTTATTCTCAAAATTATCGTATCGCTTGATCACCTTTTCTCTTTCTCTCTGTCTCTGTCTGTCAGTCTGTCTGCTTGTCTGTCTACTATCTCTCTCTCCCTCTCCCTCTCTCTCTCACTTTCTCTCTCTCTCTCTCTCTCTCTCTCTCTCTCTCTCTTTCTTTCTCTCTCTCTCTTTCTCGCTGGTTATCGATGTTAAAATCGTCCCGATTACTTAGTAACTGGATTGGGGCCTATATTATATTGTGTGTGTGATAGGCTACTATTCACACAGATGGATCACCGACGGAGTCGTCTTGTGAATAGACTCGCTAGGTGAATGAACTCTTCCTATGCCCTATTTGTGTGTATCCCTGATAGAAGAGGGAAGTGGTTAGCGGTGTTTTTATGCGCTCTTTTCTTTATCATTCCTCAGTTGTTGTTCTACTCTTGGGCATCTTTATCAACACACAGTATTGTATATACTGTAGAGTCCTTACAAAACCAAACACACGGAGAATTTTTTTACGCGGCTTGTCACGGATTGGAGATTTTCGCTCTCACTACATTGGCTGTTTTAATTGTAAAGAGAAAGTATCTGGCGCTCATATGACCTTATGCAGTTGCAAGCGCTGTAAAACCTCTACTAAAACTAAACTAAAAGAGAAAGTATCGAAGTACGAATTACATCAACCAGTATCGACTACAGGGGTTATATGGTCGCTTTTAAGCACAATGGAGCTATCCCCAAAAAAGGCTGTTTGAGAAAATCGAAGGTAAAGTTTTTGTCCCTTGATTAGTTTCTTCAAAATACAAGGCGAGTTTTCACTATAACCAAACAAATAAACACACCAATGAAACCAAACTTCTCCTATAGGTGACCATTTTTGGTACAGGTCAAGATTTCTGGAAACCCCCGGAATCTGGGTCAATCGCTTGTCCTTAAAAGCGACCAAATATTCTCCCCACTCGGGAATCGAACACAGGTCCCCTTCGTGTGACAGTGAAGACTTTGACCGCTACACTTCAGACGCCGGTAAGCCAACCTCGAAAACTTCCAAAACAAACCCAGGGTCTGAAACGCCATATCGGGGTTTCGTATAGAAGACTTTGTACACCTACCAGCGCGATATCAGCTGAGACAACGGCGTAAATATAAGGATCATTTTCAAAAACTTGTAAAAACAAATGTGCAAAAGCAACAGAAAAAGCGCGCTATTTAAATCAACGGGTATTGGTCCCATTCCTTGCAAAGATTTTGTCTTAGACATGGTAAATTCTTATTCCTTTTCATGACGGGATGGGGATTTTGTTCCTACACATATTATTATAAATTATACAGAGACACAGCAATGAAGTAACTTTGATAGAACTTGAATATACTGCCTGGTTTTCCTAGAAGTCACAAGTGTATATGGTTGCTTTTAAGCACAAGGGGGCTATCCCGAAAAATGCTATTTTGAGAATATCGAAGGTAAAGGTTTTGCCCCTTGTTCAGCTTTTTTTAAATAGAAGGAGAGGTTTCTCTAAAGCTAAACAAATATACACACCAATGAAACCAATCTTTTCCTATAGGTAGACCATGGCCACTTTTGGTGTAGGTTTCTGGAAACCCCCGAAATTTGGGTTAGTCCGCTTGTCCTTAAAAGCGACCAAAGATCGAACGAGCCTATGAGTACAATAATTGAACACAGCGGTGTGGCGGTAGAAGGGCCGGCGACAAGACATCGGTTTACCCTGTAACTTGTTGACGGGGGACGCCGATAAACAAAGGAACCTTTAATTATCACAGCCCAAGAAGATAGAAATTTACAAATTTTGAATAAAACCACTCCTCCGGTTTTTCAAGGTAAAAATTTCTTCAACAACTAGGCGACTACTGTTCACGCGTTCGCCCCATATACACAAGAAGCCACTTCATTTTATATCCTACTGCTACAATCACATGGCGGCTATCAAAGCGGCAAAACCTTCAACATATAGCCTTCTGACTGTTGGTAGAAAGTATTCAATTGTCCACTCCAAATAAAAAAACCCTCAAAGGCCAACAGGATTTTTAAAAAACAATAAAACTTTACGAGTAAAAAAATAGAATAAGGCAACCACACTGGCGTCCACTATGACATCAGGACCGAAATATGACAATCTGTTTTATTATTTTTTAAATGGCTGTTAAAATTCTGTTAAAAAATAAAAAGCAAACAGCCTGTAAACTGAAACACTAGATAAGAACCAGACACATCGATTTCAGCAGGACCCCCACCCCCCCCCCCCCCAACCCACAATCCACGTCTTGTGCATCTAACCCTCAGACTAATCTAGCAGTACAATAACACCACCTTACTCACCCCTGTCTCTCCACCACAGCAGCTCTCGTCAGGAGAGAGAGACTTTACACAGCAAAGCGTGCCGCCGCTTCAAATAGCAACCACGGCCGCCTCTCCCCCAACGGGTACTCGCCCCGACAGAGATAAGATGAGAACAAAATTCCCCCCTGAGATTTCCGTGAGACGAAAAGCGTTGAGATAAAAGACTCGTTGCAGCTGCCTAAAGATGCTCATCGCCAGATTAATCAGAAACACCCAGACGTCTGACAAGCGTGGTCTACACTTGTCCGATCAGTCGGACAACGCCACAGTGGAGTCGCGAAATTGCAGAAGTTTAACACACCTTCCAATCCTGTAAGTTTATCTAACAGGCAAAAACCTACAGAGTTACTATCCACCTCCCACAGCCTATGGCCGAGCCAAAATATGGGTGGAAAGACTTAAAAACTCCCCAAAATAACACAAGTTCAGAACAGCTCGCCACTGGGGGGATTGGAACCAGGACCAAGGGACCCGTAGTTCAGCATGATAACAGCTGAGCTAACGGCACGAACCCTACACGACTGTGCCCGGTGAAGCAACTGGACTGGCGTATGCTCGCTCTCACGTTATACAGAAGTTAGAAATAATACGTAATGACAGCCCAACGACCAAACGCGTCTCCATTTGACTTACATTCTCTTTCATTTTTCGTCACACTGCTATTGCCATGTATAATCAGCTGTGCCAAAAGATGTTCACTATTTATCTCGATCATTATTTTTAACAAATATGCAGCTAACGGCAGCTTCTTCTTCTTCTTCTTCTCCTTTTTCTTTGTCTTCTCCTCCTCCTCCTCCTTCTTCTTCTTTTTCTTCTTCAATTAAAACAAAACACCCGACAGAGTGGACGGTACAACTCTTCCACCCCTGCAAAACTTCCCCGGTGTAAACACCAGACTTAAAAACACTTCTGAAATCTCAGGTTCCATCATGTTTAAGAGAAAGAAACGAGGGAAGAAATTTTAAAAAAAAAAGGGGGGGGTACGGTATCTGTGGCAAGAACAGCTTTTTATGGAAGGAGCATGTTTCACTGGGAATGATAAAAGATTAGCTCCTCTTATAAGATTGGACACAAAATTAGACCGGTGGTTTTATTAAAGGGGTTTGAAAATGTAAGATAAGGTAAGCCATCCACAGCATACGGGTTAGCTCTGTATGTAAAACACGAAGTAATTACGGAGTGGATCACAGCGAGACTCATTGGGAGCTTTGGGTAGAGAGAAGCACCTCGGCACAGTAGTATGTTCATTTAGTGCGAGGAAGGAGCCAAGAAGAACATAAAGAAACAACTGAAGTAGGTCCTACCAGTGACACCATCTAACTACCTGCTGGAGCCATTCTTAAGATTTTAAAATCTTCGGATCCAGTCAACGGGAACGGCTGTTGATTAAGTAGCCATCTTTATTGAAAACTAAATTATTATGGCATTTATAAGGGTTGCAAAGAACACATTTTTTTAAAAACGTTCGTTGTCGTGAAAGAAATTGTGTTCAGCTATGGAGTCCTAGCGCTTACAGCCCAACGACATCAGGATAGATCTACATTTAGTACGCCCCTGTCGGTACAATTGAGACCATTTAAGAGGCAGGCTGCTTCAACCCAGCATGTTAGGGCCAACCGGTGTTGCTCAGGAAACGTACCCTCAAAAACACAAACAAGATTGCTACCAAGTCCCCCTGTTGGACCCGAACTCACGTACCTCTCTCTCTCTCTCTCTCTCTCTCTCTCTCTCTCTCTCTCTCTCTCTCTCTCTCTCTCTCTCTCCCTCTCTCTCTCCCTCTCTCTCTCTCACACACACACACACACACACACACACACACACACACACACACACATACATACACATACACACACACAAAAAAAAGACAAACAGGCTGACCTGTGGCTGGCGTGGTCTTCAGGTTCATGGAGGTCGGCATGTCACTGGCGTCGTCAGCCGAACTGGTCACTGGCCCGCATTCCTGTAAAAGAGATAGATGTGTCAGGTTCCGTTTTAGTTTTAGTAGAGGTTTTACGGCACTTGCAACTGCATAAGGTCATAAGAGCGCAAGAAGATTAGAGGTGTTACAAGAGAGTAACAAACATAAAAAAGGAGGGGAGATAAGGACGATAGATCTTTGATAGGAAAGAAGAAGCAAACCACACCAGAGCACCCACCAACCACCCACGTGTCAGGTTCTGTCATTGCCCGTTTGAGCAAACAGAAGCACACCTTCATATCAATGGTTATTTAGTGCAGGGAAACGCAAGTAGAGAGACAGGGGAGGGGGAGGGGGACAGACGGAAGGAAGAGAAGCCACACCTACCCGTTGCGTTATGTTCAGGGTCAGTTTGGAGCCCTAAAGGGTATTTCGGCAACAGTCTAATGAGCGTCTGGGTTTCATAATAATAATAGATAGCATTTGTATAGCGCATACCCCCGCTCAACGGCAGGCTCTATGCACTTTACACTATATTATTACCCCAGCAGACCATCGAACACTCCGAAACATTCTCAGCTTTCTGGGAAGCATACAGTGCAAGCAGCTGATTAAGCGCTCAAACACTAACAAACTGACAAGATCTTTCGCTGTCTATAGCCGGGTACCCATTCCCACCTGGGTGAAGTGAGGAAAATTCGTGTAAAGTGCCTTTCCCAAGGACACAGCGTCGGGCCCCTGGCGGGATTCGAACCCACGACCTTACGGTTGCGAGTCCGAGAGCCTTACCATTAGGCCACCGACGCCAAATACAATTCTACTGGAACGTTGGTTTAGAGGCTCATGACAACTTCTTTACGCCCCCTTCGACACAAATTAGATCACATACGAGGCGGTGCCAGCCAAAAGAAAAGATGAGGTGGGAGAAACAAACGCCATCGACCGGCCAAAGTGTTATGTTGTTCGAGGGAATAATTTTGCCATCGGACGAAAGCACAGTTGCGATCCATTCAAAGTCGACAGCACTGTGTTTGTGTTTGCTTGTTTGTTTGTTTATTTGAATAAAGAAAGGCACTCTGACACAGTAAATGGAGCTCTCTTGGTCGAGAGGTTACGGTGTTCGCCTCTCATTCAATAGGTCCCGGGTTCGAATACGGACAGCGATGGAATATTTTCTTCTCTAAAATTGTCTGCTTTCACCTCATTTCCTTGCTCTCCAACAACGTTCTATCGTCTGCCTTCGTCTCCACTTCCTGCCCCCACCCCTCTCACCTCCTTCGCCCCCTCCTCTGGGTTCGTGACTCTTTTGCAGCCTTTCTACTGCTACTCCTTTGCTCCGTTTTATTGCTGTATTTTAGCCACACCCCTGGTCTTATGGTAGGTAAAATCTAACATCTACCCTTCTCGGATAAGAACGAATAACCCGGAGGCCCCGTGCGCAAGTTGTGCACTTTAAAGATCCCTTGATGGTCCAAAATCAATAAGAGTAGACTTTGACCGCCACCCTGCAAAAGTTAAGAATTACCTACCCAACTGAAAACGTGTAATGTGTCCCGAGCGCTCATAATATAACCTTATGCAGTTGTGAGCGGCGAAAAAGACTTGGTGAAAAAAAGACAATAATTGTTATTTTGTTGTTGTTGTTTTTAAGTGAAGAGAAACACATCGACACAATAATGGTCGTTTAGTTCAGAGAAATAGAAAGACAAGACGTGAAACAATAGAGGGAAAGTAAAGAAGTAGGACCTGCAAGTGGCGCCCTCCAACCACACGCACCATAACTGCCATGCATGCAGTGCAGGGAAAGAGAGAGACAGACAAACAGAAAGACACGAGGGAAAGAAAAGAAAAAAAAACAAAAACAAAAAAAAACATTAGACCTACAAAAACATCCTCAACAACCAGCCAAGTGACCAGATATAGCGGCATGTGTCTGTGGACGTGTCTAATGCACCAACAGATGCAAATAAAGACCAGTCATGTCAAAGGCGTTGATCTGGACTGCCAAGTACGCCATTCAGTCTGCATAGGTGCCAAATGGTTAGGAAGAAAAATCCTAGACATTTCGGATCTCATGAAGACCTGCGAACGGGGACTCAAATTGTACAGTCCATATTGTCGATGTCGCCAGAAATACACTTAAGCTTGTTTGGGTTGATCTACGTTAGGTTTTTTGTTTACGTCAAAGACAAAAAAAATAACAAACAACAGCAACAAACACACAAATAAATTGTGTTGTTCCTGTCAGGAATCATGAAGCGCAAGAAAATTGTAAGCCTTGACCATAGCAATAAACTGCTTTTTGCTGAAGTTGAAAGGTGCATCTTTGATAGAGCTTTGACAGAGTGTAAAAATAAAAAAATCTCAAAATGTGTACTTAAGTGGATTGTTAACGAGGGCAGTGATATTGCCTAATACATCTTGTTTAATCAATGTGTTTATACAAAGTGCAAAATAAGGACCACTTGAGAAACACGAGATTCTGCATTGATCCAGAAAATCGGCATCTCTGAATCTGTGGCCACGAATTGAACTACAGAGCAGTGAGCACCGGTGCCAAAACAGTGTACATTTCAACAGGGGCTGCCTAGGACAATACGTTGTTTTTGATGAGCGTTCCTACTGGGCGTGTACGTACGATCGGATGTCTGCCAAGAGAGAGAGAGAGAGAGAGAGAGAGAGAGAGAGAGAGAGAGAGAGAGAGAGAGAGAGAGAGAGAGAGAGAGAGAGACAGACACAGACACGGACACAGACAGATACAGACAGACTGACAGACAGAAAGACAGACAGAGACATAGAGACAGAGAGACAGAAATAACAGAGAGGCGGGGGAAGGGGGGCGGGTGGCAATGTACAGGCAATCAGAATTAAAAGAAAGATAGATAGAGAAAGGAACAGAGAGAAGGTAGAATGAAAGAGAAGGAGAGCGAGAGATATAGAAAGAGAGGGACAGACAGACAGACAGACAGACAGACAGACAGACAGACAGACAGACAGACAGATAGATAGATAGATAGATAGATAGATAGATAGATAGATAGATAGATAGATAGATAGGTTTGTAGATAGATAGATAGATAGATAGGTTTGTAGATAGATAGATAGATGGATAGATAAATAGATAGATATATAGATAGATAGATAGATAAACAACTTTATATAAAGGAATCAGCACTGAGTCACAAATTATTTCCACACCATGAACATATTCTTTCACATTTGTCAAGTTCATATGACGAGAAACCGCTTGACAAAAAAATAGGGAATAGGGGATTAAGACAGACAGACATAATTGTTTATTTAGTAGAGGTTTTACGGCGCTCGCAACTGCATAGGTCATATATGAGCGCCAAGGGGTGGATGTTAACAGAGAAGTCTTCACAGGGAATCGGGCTTACTCTGCTCACCTCTCTAGTTTTAACAGCACAAAGTCTGTTTTGACTTCCAAGGCACCCCGTAAATAGCAGTTCACAAGAGTTTGACAAACATACGAAAGAAGTAGAGGAAAATGACGATAGTAAGGATTAGAAAAGAAAAAGCAGCAG